GCCTGAAGTTAAACAATCCAGTTTCCTGGGAAAGAAACTGCTCTTGATCGCAAAACGAACTGCATGCAACGGAGTTCGAGCAGAAATGCCCTCCTGTGCTTTGGCCACTTCTGGATTTTGGTCATCTACTAAATGGGCATCTTGGCACACATTTTCTATTTGGGACCAGTTACTGGTCACATAAAATTTTGTTTTACATTAGGTAGTGTAGAAGACAGAAGCAAAACTGTGAATACACCTTTGCATTTTAAATTTCATTTTCCACACAAACGATGCACGAGGATGAAGCCAGAACGTTTGAAACCTCGATGGTCGTAACCTTAGCGCTCCCCGCGTCTCGCACGTCCCCAACGGCAAAGGCTGATTTCAGTCCCCGAGCCACCGCTCATCTCCAGGGAAGTGAGAGGTAAATAATCCCAGCTGGACATAACCTACTTTCTCGTTTACAAGAATAAAAACCACTTTCCTGAAGGTGCTGCTGTTGCGCCGGCAGGCTGGCTTGCTGTTGGCCGAGGTCGAGGGGTGGCGACGGGGCTATTGAAGCGTGTTGTGCTCTTTGACTTCTGAATGCTCACGAGGCAATCACAAAAAGTACAACTTCTCTCAGAGGCACTGGCATTTTCACCCCTCCTACTAATCATTTAGGCCATCAACTGGGGAAGGATTTTTTTTTCTCTTTTTGTTCAGGCTTCAAGCAGAAGTTCATCCAAGACCAACTAAACAGATTTTCTAGGATTTATGTGCATTTCATCTCAGGCTGTGGATGCTCTTGTAATTTTGATAAGCCCTACTGGTTAAGAATCCCTGACTTAAAATACAGTAATTGTTACAAAGGATAACAATTTTAGACTGATGATTGCAAAAGAGCTGATTATTTCTCCATAGTACTTGAGAGACGGAGACTATCTGATTTCCTAAGTTTCCAGTAATTCTTGACCTCTATTCTTATTTTCAATGACTGTATAAATTTTAAGATTTTAGATCCTAAGCTAATGTAAAAATCTTCTCTATTAAGACATATTTTACATGTTTTATAAATAGAAAAATATTTCCAAAGCTTACGATTCTTTCATGCTTATTATTAGCTTTTTTATTGCTTAATCGTTAAGCATTTACTTTTTAGAACAGGCATTTAAAGTCTTCAACTAAAATAAAATAGATGCTTTTTTTAAAAATCAGAAACCTTCAACTTTAACATACTAGTGACAAATACACCATTATATAAATACACTATATTCATTTACTCATTCATTCATTTTACAAGTACTTACTGAATGCATACTTCATGCCAAGCACGTTTTAGGAACTGGGAGTATAGCCTTGAGAAAAAAATGAAGTCTCACCATTCAGAGCTTATATTTATTGTATATTTCAGGGGGTAAGCAGGCAGCAAACAATTAACATGTAATATCATAAAGAAGAGCTTATACAAAATAAAGCTGCAGAATCAAGAGGTTGGGAAGAGTGGGAGGCCAGGAGGTATAATTTATACAGGATGGTTAATAAAGGTGTTAACCGCTAGGTGACCTAAGGAGGGAGTGAGCCCTGAAGACATCCAGGAGAACCTTATTCCAGTCAGAGTGAAGGCAAGGGCAAAGGAGCTTGCTTGGTGGGTTTCAGGAAGAGCCAGGGCAGAAGGCTGTTAGGGAGAGAGCAAGAGCAGATGGGAGGCAGGCAGGAGATGAGTGGTCGTAAGCGGGACTGCGGAAGAGCACCGCGGGATAATTGGCTTGCTAGGGCTGCCGCAACGAAGTACCGCAAACTGCGTGGCTGAAATAACAGAATTCTATTACCTCAGTTCTCAGGGCTGGAAGTCCAACATCAAGGTGTCATCAGGGCGAGTTCTTTGAGGCTGCAAGACAGAATCTGTCCCTTGTCTTTCTCTCAGCTTCTGGTGGTTCGTTGGCAATCTCTGGAATTTCTTGGCTTGTAAGAGCGTCACCCCAATCTCTGCCTTCATCTTCACATGGCATCCTCCTTGCATGTGTGTCTGTCTCCAAACTCCCTTTTTATGAGGATACCAGTCATACCGAGTCAGGATCCACCCTACTCCAGTATGACCTTATGCTAACTAATTATATCTGTAACAAAGCTATTCCCAAATAAGGTCACATTCTGAGGTACTAGGGGTTACAACTTCAATGTATGCATTTTGGGGAACACCTTTCAATTAATAATATAACCAGTAACATGATTATGCTGAGTAAGATAAGGAGCCACTGGAATGTTGTGAGCAGATAAATGTCATGATCCACCTTGCTTTATAAGAGGACTCAATCCATTTAGCTGCTCCTGTGACGGTGGACTGCACAGTCAAGGGCGGAAGCAGTGAAGCCTGGTAACGCATATGGTAGCCTGACTGACATGCTAAGCTGCAAAGTGGTGTGAAGTGTGGCTTCTTTAAAGGTACACCTAACAACCTCTCATAGATTAGGTATCGGGGGTTGAAAGAAAGAAATTATGGATAGATCCAGGGTTTTTGACCTGTGTAATTAGGACAACAAAGTTACCCTTTACTGAGATGAGACTGTGCAAAATCAAGCATTTGGTGCAAAATCAAAGTGGTTAGGACATTCTCTTTAAGCTGCCTATTAAATACCCAAGTAGCAATGTCAAGTCAGATATACAAAGTGGAGATGCAAATCTGTGTTGTCCTCGCCTAGATTTTTAAAATCAAGAGACCGAATGGGGAATGATGTTGAGCACCTGTTAATAGGCTCATTGACTATTGGGAAATTCTCTTTGTAAAGTTCCTGTTGCCATCATCTGTGCATTGTTTACATTGGGCTGTCTTTTCCTTACTGATTTGCAAGTGTTCTTTGTAATATTCTGGAAACAAGTCCTTTGGCAGAGTTAAGTACTGTGAATATCTTTCTTCTTTCACTTTCTAATGTTGTCTTTTGATAAACAGAAATTCTTAATTCTAATGAAATTCAACTTTTTTTTTATGGTTAGTTGTCTTATTTTAAGCAATTCTACACCAAAAAGTCATGAGAATTTTCTATAAGAAATTTATTTTTCATATTTAGGTCTACAATCCACTTTGAATTTTCGTGTATGGTGTTAGGTGGGGGCATGTTCACTTTTTTCCCCCAACAGGGATAGCCAACTGATTCAGCATTATTTATCGAAATCTTTTTCCCTGTGGAAATTTAGATGATAAAATTACAGCACTTACTGCTTCCTAGAAATACCATGTGTTACCAGACAGAGCTGGGAGATCACCACTGGGTAGTAGAGTGAGTTATGTTGTCTGGAGACGCTCATTTAACTATCCCTACAGCTATATATGATGGATTCTTAACTCAAATTAATCTCAGTGCACGGAATTTGGCTTTTGCAAGTGGGAAAGGAAAATGGTTACTCCAGTCGTGTACTGCAGGCTTCAGGCAGAAGGCTCTCTTATTAGCCACGCAGCATGCTCCCTTCCTGCTTGCCTATTGCTCTCTTTCCTGTAAGGGCTTCCCTGAAGATCCAGGCAGTGGTCAACACCACCTACTATCTTGATGTTTTCCTACCAAGTCCTGTAAAGCTTCAGCCTTTTTATGCATGCACATGACACCATCAGCAGTTTAACAGTTTAAGGTTCCCAACATCACTGCTGAGAAGGGAAAAAGGGACAAGTCACTGCCTCCCATCAGCAAGGTAATGAGAGTTTAAGTAATTTGTTCAGATTTAAACAATTATTGAGTGATTCTACTCAGATCGCAACTATAGTTTATCTCCAAAGGCTCTTTTGAACTATGCTTCATATTATCAATCTTAAAAATTAATCATTGACAATTTTCCTCCATAATATATCTGAGAAATACCTCATAATTTAATAAATAACTAGATCTTCTTGGGAAAAAAATGTTCCTGGTATATCTTTCTATACAGGTCCTTAGGCACCTATGAAAATTACCATTATGCTTCACACAGTAATATTTGAATGATTCTGTGTATTTACAAGGACCTAGAGAAACATTCATTACTTTCAAGGCCAGCAATTCAAAATTTGAGATTATCTATCAAAAACTGAGAGAAATAGATTGTACTAAGGGTAATAATTTGGCACAATAATTTTTTACAATCTTTAAAGCTAAACTACCTAATTAGCTTCAACTAATGTGTATTAACTTATGTCCAAATAGAAGGTGATTTTTGTGAGTTCTTTTACTCCTTTCAAAATCACCCCTTGTAAAAAAGGGAGTCATCTTTTACCTTACGAAAATCTTTAATATTAAGTCACTCTGTCAATTATTTGATTTAGAACAATAAAGTATTGTTTGGAGAAGTCACGTATCTTGAAATCTTAATAATGCCAATTCAGAACCTTACAAAGTTTAACAATCAATTTAAGAATAAAGAGAAGAATTTAACACAGATTTATTAGTTATACACATTATTTCTGAGTATACAACCTCAAAATATTCAATGTCATCTAATCATTTACTGTATTTTTGACTGGGTTCTTGTGGCTGATAATAGAATTTCTGATGATTACATCAAACATACATTCAGAAACTGCAGTGTATCAAACAGCTTTGATGGAGGAAAACCACTGTTACATAAATCCCTAAGTGGCCTAGTGATGAAGACAGTGATGCAAAGATTCATATGAAAAATCTGACTGAGTAGAACAAATATCCTCAGTTCCTACTACATATTCTTTAGTTTCACTTGACTGCTTCGTCCACCCAACAAAAATTTAGTATCTAAAAGCTGGCCAAAATTCTTTTTGGATTTTTTTTGTTGGAAAGAGAAGGGACAGTTGTAAACATGGGCATGGAGTGTGGCTTTAGTGTTTGCATTTATTGCCTCACAGAACTCATTCTCAGAAAGAAATATTGGCTATGTTTAAGTATTTTCAAGGTGGGAACTCTGACCCCCGAGGTAGCCCATTCTGTCTCTGGAGTTCCCTTTTGTTAAGGGTTCCTTCACCTTGAACTCTATTCTGTTTCTCTGTTATCCACCCACAGTAGTCAGAGTTGTTCCATTTCTCTGTTATCCACCCACAGAACTGTCAGAATTGCAGACATGCTGAGTAAATCCAACCCCTTCATACTGATGTCTTCTGGATTGTCCTGGTCTCTTACCCTCTGTCCCAAAGATCTAACAGCAATAATTTTATGCTGAACAACAAATTATATGAGAAGGGAAACTAAGAAAAACAGAGAAGTAGAAGACTTGCAATTGAGCATTGTAAGTAACACCCGAGTACCGGTTACTACAGCCTAAAAACTCCATGAGGACTGAGGCTGTGACAGCCTTTCACTGCTGTATCCTCAGTAGTTCATAGAAGACATTTAATAAACAGCTGTTGAAAGAATAAACTGCAAGAAAACAACTGCCACTTTTTTGCTAGTTATTTAAAACACTTCTTCAGTTTACAAGAGATGGACTTAGAGAAAAGTTGAGGGCTCTTATCAGAAGACGCATTCTAACCAGCCAGTCTGTACACACCCACAAGCTGTGCGGGACCGATTTTGTGCCTGTTATTCCTGTGCCAGAGCAATTCTCACTTAAAGATGCGCTTATGGTATCAAATGTGAAAAATAAATTATTAAAAATTAATAGTTGTATAAAGTTCTGTTTTCCAGTAACATACTCTCCCCATTTGATGCTATTTTAAAAAGGAAAACCACTTTACTGACAGTGACAGTGAGAGGTGGTTGTCCTGTGTCAAGATCACAATTCAGTAGTTGATCAAGGACTCAAATCCAGTTATTCTAACTTTAAACTGTAATTAATATTTAAAATGATCAGGTTTTACCAGTATAAAATATATCAAGCCTGTGAAGCTGAGGTTCTTCATCATTTAATATAAAAGAACACAAGTCTAGTCTGTTTAAATTTTAAAACTGTTTCCACAATTACAAATAACTTACAATTAATGAGAAAAAAAGCGTTTTGTGAAAGATCAGTTTTAGCTGTCCTCTTCGCTTGCACAGAGAAATATTTATGTCCCAGACAACCAAAAGATAAATAGTAAAAAATAATAAACGGTTACATGTTTTCAATTAATTTATTTTAGAAAAACAAAGGTTTACAATTGGTGCCTTAAGGCAGGATATCATGAATTCAACAAGTTAGTAATACAGACTTTCAAAAACCTTTATAGATTAGTCCAAAGTAGAAAATTATTTTTTGCCCACTCTTGGACTCGGACACATTCAGAAAAAATATATATTTATAAAAATAAAATGATAAACCTAATCTCACCAATTGATAGTCTTAACATCCTGCACTTATTTGAACAATTTCTGCATAATAAGATGAGTGATTTTTCCCTGTCCTACCTCCATATCATATGAAACAGTTATGAAAATATTTAAATTACTTTTTGCAAAATCCAAACCAAAAAGCTCCTTAAACAGAACACAAGAAGCATCAACAAGAACAAAAATTCACTAAACAAAAACAATATAGCTAATTATTTTACTATTCATATAAACCATTCCTTCAGCCTCTAGACATCTGGCTCAATGTTATTTCTAAATCAGATACCAGGGAGCATTATATGTGAAGAAGAAAGTGAAAATTCCAGGTCTAATGCACCTTAGATTAAGTTTCAGAGAGCTAGAAAAAGATTAAGTAGACAGTGAAACAAACAAAAAGGATTACAAGCTATAATGGGGTGCACAGCTCAATAAAAATACATACTTTCTCTCTTTGAAATATCTTTAAAAATTGTCTGAGGACCAGACTCAGCAAGAGCAAGCATCTAGAATCCTGTATTTGAAAAGTCAGAAACAGAACTTTATTGAAACTGCAAAATTGCAATTTACTGAAGGGTATTCCCCCAATGATATGTAATCACAGCACAAGACTCATCCCTGCGTTAGGATGATGGATCTGTGTCCTCCTACCAGATTAAGAAACCTACCTTTATTCTGAAGACATTTTTCTAAAATGAAAACAGGATTCCTAGAAAACTCTGATATATTGAAAGGAAAACCATACTAGTGAGCAAAAATTTTACATTTGTTTTGTGAAGATTTTGTAACAATATCCTAAAGTAGAGAGAAGTAAAACGCAAATGTTTAATACAAAAAAAATAAAATAATCCACTTATAATCCAAATATACATTTTGTTTTCCTAATAGATACATTTTGAAAACACACAAAGAATATGGGGTAACAGTATAGAGTTGTGAAAAACGGTGGCAGAGAACTAAAGCATTATCTTAAAGAGATGGAAATCTCAGAAGACAAAGATCACTGGACTTTGATGATACATATTAAGCTCTACTTTTTCCCCCCGTTTTGGTCTTTATCGGTGCACTAGACAAAAGACAAAACTATGCAGATGACAGACATCTGTCAGTGATAAACATGAAGAAAAAAGCAGTGAGACTTCTACTCCAGTTTCCTCCCGTCACGGTGGCAGTTAAGCCCCCCTTCCCTGGAGGTCAGGACTCCCGCGAGGCACCTGCACTCACCTGAGCTTCACACTGCTGCAAACAAGCCCGACCGCCGCCATCGCTCATACTGACCTTCCAAAAGAATCTCTCCTTACTCGTTAGAGAGGCATTTCCTTGTCAAATTAACAGCATTTATTCCTAATTCCCATTTAAGAATAACATTTCACTCTGTGTTTCCTGAAGTTTCATTTGATTGCATATGTGCTTCACTTATAAAAATTATAATGGGGTGCCAAACACTAAGAATAAGTAATTATTATATCCTAAAAGAGTACATGGGTACAAGACAGCAATTACCAGTAACTCCTTAGAACTTAAGATAGAAGAGTTTCAGGTTAGTAGTGATCAGAATGGCATCAGAAATAACCACTGGGGAACCTTTGGGACCACAGCCCTGGACAACTACAGGATCAGGACCATGAATTATGTATTTTTAAAGTGATGAAACATTTTAAAAATGTCTAATAACTCAATGAATAACCACCCAAATAACTGTCACCTTAAGTCCTAAACTTGGCTAAAATGAAGCCTCAAAAAATAAACTAATCTACAATAAACATACCATACTGATATTAAAACAGTACCAATTTTGTACATTACTTGGGAAAGAATTCCTATGTTATTCTATTATGGGAAGAAGATGAGAGGTCACTGACTGAACTGGATGACACACTGGGATAATGGGGAAGTGAAATGGCAGATCTCCTGAATCACCAGACGTGAATGTTAACAGGCTGATGATGTCACTCATTACTCATTATGAACAGACACACCCGTAATACCACATGGCAAGTGTATGCCAATGCATTTCCTGTGTATGTGTACATATAGATATACATATGCACGTATTAAATCCTGTTACCATAAACTTACACTATAAACAAAAATATGATATATATTGCTTTTTTAAAAGCAGAAGGAGCTTTTTATCAAGGAAAAATTTTAGAAGAAATCCCAATATATAAAACAGAGAGAGGAAAAAGTAGGCTGTTCTGAATAAAGCAGGGCAGCAGTAACAGAGATCCTCCCTGCCTGCCATGTTGGCTGAGATTCCTACTAAACGTCCAGGGCATGGTTTTAAATCACTGCTCCCAGTAAATCCTATTTATGCTGCAAAAACTGAGCATAAGACTGTTTTTTCCCCACTTGTATAGGCCCATATGAAAGTTTTATAATGCAACTGAGTATAAAGGTAAAAAGTAATATTTCCTCTCCTTTAAAAATAATAACAAAATAAAATCACTATGCTGTACAAAATCATAATCTTAATTTGATCCTTGGAAAAAAGTTGTTAGTTCTCCTTAAAGTGCCTAAATTTTAAAGACTTAATTTTGTCCATATAAATCTTATCCAAACGTGAGAAGAAACGGACGCTGGGAGGTGGAGGCGCTCTTCTTCTCTGTCGCACATGTGTCTTCTACCTGACTGGCCAAGTTAAATATTCTGCCCAAGAACCTTAATGTTGTCACAGAATATTCAGATAGAGAAACATGCAAATAGAACTGATGTGGCACAACAACATCTATAAGATAAACTCTGATGGAGTGTTTTGATTTTGCTCTTGGCTCCAAAATCTACCCACTTATGAAAGGACTATTTTAACCCATGCAGTTGGTATTAGCAGAACACAAATACCATGTTCTCTTCTGTGAAGGTCATGATTCAGTGTCTGAATTCAATAAATAGACTCTTTAATAATTTGAAATCCTATCAAGTATTTCATCCCGGGAAGGTCTCAATCCTTCTTCTTTTCTAACACATCCTTGGGTTCCTGCGCCGCAGGCGCCGGCGGGTCTGCGCCGCTCGGCTCCGGCTGCCCCGCGCCCTCGTCC